TGTGTGTGTGTGTGTGTGCGTGTGTGTGTGTGGGAGAGAGAAAGAAAAAGTGAGGGTGCGCTTGGCGTCGTCTTTCGGCCTGATAGTAGTTTCAAGAACGAATCGATAGATTAATGAAATGGCACGAACTGTAAAAGAGTGGGAAAGAGGAAAGGGTGGGGTGGGGGAGGGGGGGCTCTTGGGAAGCGGCGATGTCTTTTAACATTAATTTTTTGTAAAATAAATAATTATTGAGTCTCTTTGTAGAACCGTAAAAAATGTTATATTATTATGGGAAATGTTGATCTTGTTCTTGTTTTGGGTTTGTAATCACGCTGTGCCATACACGGTTATTGAAGCGAATCAGTTTTCGTAGTTGCATTTCTGAAGTGATTACCTCTATGATAACCCTAATGTGTTATTTAAATAAGTGATTGTAATTTCTTCAACAGTGGCTGGTAAATTATGCTTGCAAATAGGCCATGCATGAGCCTGTAAAAAATGTAGCACGGTGCCAAAAATCTCTTTACTACCCCAGTCATCAGAATTATTGTAATATTAATTGTACCAGATTAGATCTCTTTCTATATATGTGTAAATCGTGAATAAACTTGTTCTGTTTTATTGTTGTTTTGACCTACGCGTAAAACAGCAATCAAAGTATATGTACCCATCTTATATTACCAAATCATTGTATAATAAATGTTGCCAAATTAGATGAAAAAATATATTGATGAAATTAATGATTATTTTTGTCGAGCACTTTATCACATTCCAATCCACAACAAAACGTACAGCCACAAAGTTCGACAAAAAAAAGGAGAAAAACAATAACAAACAGAAAGGGGACATATGCCTCTTCACTCACGTGGACGCGCGAGAGAGAGTAAACGGAACGCAATGATGTCTCAATGCCGGGGTGGGCCGGGGGCCGGGTGGGCGTTGGGGAGGGGTCCCCGCGGGACGCTGGCGGGACGCAGCAGAGGGACCCGGAGGCCCCGGCCCCGGCCTTTGGCCCGCCTAATGGCACCGCAAACACACCGGCTACTTGTTGCCAGCTTAAACAATGAGGTGCGGCGGCGAGGCTCCGAGAGTTCATGTTGGAGAGCGCCGCCGGCGGTGAGTGATGCGGTGAGCACATGACAGAAACGTTTAAGAAAAATCACACCCCACAAGGAATGTTTTTGTGTCAAAATCGGGAACGTTTTATAAGCATATCCAACCAAAGAAAAGCATATGTCTCTCATATCAATAAACGTGTTGGTTTTGAGGTATGACATTTAGAATCACAACGACAAAATTAACAGACTGACCAAGCGCTCTGGAGCTCGCGACTCCGACACATTTGTCCCTTCGTTTAAGTACACGTTAACGTAATTTCTGTGTGATATATGAACCAGCAAAATAAAGAGCATATACAGAGGGCCTAAAAAAACATCACGCGTAACAAAAGACATCACTTGAAGATCATGCTTGGCTAATGTCTCGAATGTGTCATGCTGTTCGTTAAGCAACTCTGAGTCAGATCTTCCTCCAATTTAACTGCAGACCCAATGACTCTTTGACACTGAAACCAACATGAACACACACACACACACACATTGAAAAATTCATATAACGACCGCAAAGCTACGATTACAAAACAAAGAACTGTAAAAGTGCCGTTGACCCTCCCGCCGTATTCTTTCGAAGATGAGAAATTTGTGCTTTGGTTGCGGTGCGCTGGCGGTGCGCTGAGCGCGAGGATGAGCCGTGTTTGCCTATGCATAAGCACGCCCTGAGAGACGGCAAATAGGCCGGGGCCGGCCGGGCGGACCAAGGGGGAGGCCGTGCCACGGGCCGACACTGTTGTCTTTCGAAAATATAAGTGACAACAAACATGATGGCTGCACTCACTGCCGTTGCCCGCCCGGCTGATTTGCATACACGGCCCGTAGTGTATTTGAACGGCCGCCGCTGCTGCAAGCCGTTCGTTCCCCTTCTCGTGTTCGAGCACAGAGTGATCTTCTCCAGGGTTGCTACAAGAATAGGAAAGTGAAATTCCCTGACATTTCCCTGAATTTCTCTGACGGCAAGATTAGCAGTCAGAATGTTGGAAACAAGGAGGGACTTGAAGCGCGGACACCTGGCTGAGTACAATGGTGCCGGCAGTTTTCCCCTCACATTTCCCTGACTTCCCCGACACAATTTGTTTTCCCTGACCTTTCTCTGACTTCCCTGACTTGTAGCAACCATGTTCTCGCCGGTGCCATGCGAGGAAGACACGACCGAAAAGCAACAACTCTCGCGCGCATGATTGTGTGAAGGTATAGGTAGAAGTGGCGGCAGTCAACATTTTCCCGACGCAAAAAGCTGCTGCACACATATTTTTGTGGACTTTTGTTCACTTGCGAGGGCAGAAGGTGTTGCCGAACCCGAACGTTACATAACGGTCTGGACAGTGAAACTGGTGAAATGTCAAAGAGAAAGGGGAGCCTGTCGGCCTGTTGGCCCCGTCCAGGGGGTATGAGAGACCTCGGAGCGGCAAAGTTAAGGAATCATTCAGGCAGGAATGCGAACGCAAAGTCCAACCCCCCGTCCCCGGCGGGAGGCCCCGACCATTCAGTTCGCCTTCATTGACTCTCTCTCTCTCTCTCTCTCTCTCTCTCTCTCTCTCTCTCTCTCTCTCTCTCTCTGAGTCTGAATTTCTGGTGTCTGTTTCAATGGGGCGAGACACAGAATAACTGGATTAAACTCTGCCCTGTTATATTCCGTTGCGCTGGAGTGGCCCGGCGGGGCGGCGATCTCGGTGGAGGAGGAGGAGGCCACCTGCAAGGACGTCGAGTGCGCCAGAGGAGGCCCCCGGGAACAGGGGCTGTGTGGGAGAGAGAGAGAGAGAGAGAGAGAGAGAGAGAGAGAGAGAGAGAGAGAGAGAGAGAGAGAGAGAGAGAGAGAGGTTAGGGAAGGGGGAGGTCCAGAGCGGTTACGATGTCGACGACGCGGTCGGGAACCCCGCCAGGGTCGCTATGCGATTGTACTTATAGCGAACCGCGGGAACTGAGTATCAATCAAAGTAAAATTTGAAAAAAATAAAAACAACACAAAAAGCCATAAAAGAACAGTGCAAATACTAAAAATTAAACAAAAGTAATAATAAAAACATGTATTTAGTTGACATGAATAATCGGCGGAGAAATCGATATGTGAGGTGAGTGCCCTATAGAACTCCAGGGGGGGTCGCCGCCTGCCAGACACATGTGACATGTGTCGTCTTCGAGCCTCATTCGCACAATTAGACTGAGGCTGGCCATACAGCCGACTGAGCCAGTGGGTCCGGGCGACTCGCGCCGGCCGGCAACAAGACAGTTCCTTGCCCAGGACCTCACGGAGCCTGAGCCCGGCGGAGCCCCTGACGCCCGTCCAGGCGGAAGCGATCGTCAGACAATGCGGCAGGGCCCGGCGGCCGGGGCGGAGGAGAGGCGGAAGTGCATTGTCGGAGGAGAACCTCGGCGGCGACGACTGCAGGACACACACTACCGAGGTTACGAGAATACTGCTGTTATAATGTGAGTTTTCTTTATCAATGTAAAATTTTGGTGATAAATTAAACTCTTATGCACAATAACAGGAGACAGTATACAGAACGAAAATAACGCTGGCCTCGCAAATCTTGCTCTCTAAATAAACTCAAGTAGCTTCCCCACATTTTAACTGAAAACGCGAGGTACAAAAACAACTGCAGCACGCAAGTGGTATGTATGGCACTGTACTGCGACACTTTGAGTGTTCAGAGTGGACGACGTTGTTTTGACCAATTTCTGGAGAAAGGTAACATTGACTCTACTTTCAACCGATCAGACATCGATAACCAAGACTCCTAGAAGCGGAAAGTATGTCTCTGTATAATTTCCAGGATTTTGGCTCGCAATCCAAAATAAGAAACGAAGAGGTTACTTTTTGCACACACAATTCATCTTGCTGGCGCAAACATGTATCTGCTTCTCGCCTTGGCGCAGGCGCTCGTTTACCTCCATATTGGCGTCCCTCGCGGCGTGCCCCCCCCCCTTCCCCCCTCACGGCGGCCCCTTCCCTCGTCCCGACGCTCCTCGCCCAATGGGAGTCGACTCAGAGGCGTGGCGAGGCGTGGCGAGGCGCGGCGTGGCGTGGCCGCGAGTACGTAGTTTGTATTACTAGTATTGCCACCGCCATTGTCGGATGATTGTTGTGTAATTGTACGGACGACAGTGATGGCTGCTGCTTGCTTGTTTGACGAGGGAATGAGGGAGGCGTGGGGGGGGGGGGGGGTGCGACGAGTGGTTGACAAGGAGGAAGGGGGGGAAGGGTTAAAAGAAGTGGGGAGGGGGAGAGAGAGAGAGAGAGGCTCGCAGAAAACACTTACGAAACAATGGACAACAATGCCGACTGTTAAACTATTAGGCAAATGCTCCGCGGTGAGTTGGACGAGTGGAGCGTGCCAGTGGGGGGCGGCGAGAGTGGGCGCGGGGCGGGGCGGGACTGGAGGAGCGCGTGCGGCAGTTTCACCAAACCACGTGGTTCCACGGCTGGAAATACAAGGCCAAAGTTATCAGTTATCGACCTAATTGAACAATATTTCTTTTTGTGAGGATAAACGAGCATGTCCTATAAGACGTATAGTACGTATAGGTACGCGAGAGCGCGTGCGTGTGAGCTGGTTTGTGTGAGTGTGATTGCGAGAGAGGAGAGGGAGACAGAGAGAGACCCTGACTTATCCGATCCCACTAAACGCTATCGAATCAGCTCGAGGGAGACGACGCTGTCGGGCCGGCCCTACAAGGCGTCGGCACGAAAAATGTACCCCCATTCCCCCCACCAACCCCCTCACGAAGCCAATCATCTGCGGAAGAAAGTCCCATCCGCATGGCTGGCCCGCTCACGCCGGGCTGCTGCCTGTGACACATTCATTCGGAGTGGTTGTCGGGGCTTTAATGCAGCCGCCGCCACACGGATTCTCCAATTACGAAATTTAACGCCACGATTTCCGTTTTCTCGCGTCGTCGTCGTCGTCGGTGCGTCGTTCACGCGGCGCAGTCTCATGCTCGGCGCTGATTGGCTTTAGCCGCAGCCCTTCAGGCCCCTTCTTTCTTACCATGGTCGCCTCAATTTCGCATTCCATTTTCATTTCCCCTCTGCTTTTCTATCGTGCACGACGCCTTCGCCGCAGGGGAAAAAGCGCTTACTAAAATACGTTAAGCTTACAAACTATTAAGACACTTATTCTCGCACTGAACCACGTGGCTGATACGCTTCCGCATGCACACGCAAAAAATAGATTAGCTGATACGCGAGGTAGTTAAATTAGCTGTAGCAGC